AGGGAAAGGAAAAATGCTGAGAAATGGAAAAAATGGAAACAAAGTCTTTGTAAATAGTGAAGGATGGAGGGGGTGAAGGGGGGGCTAGGAATGGGGAAAAATAAGAACCAAGATGAATCATGTAAAGGTACACGTTCCCAATAAGAAATGTAAATGTGTTGTATACCTAAAATGTACCAGGAAAAGAATTAAAAAAAAGTTTGAATTTTAAACTAGTTCAACCTGAATTCCACAGTAGTTACTTTTGATGAAAGTACTTTCCTCATTTATGTTTGGCTGAAAAGTCAACCTTAGTGATATGCATTTAGTTTTGATGTTACTGATTTTTTTTTGCACTTATTAAAACTCAGGGGGAGACACCACATAACTATTGCACTTTCTTTTCTGGGGAGCATTTTATTTTCTGAGGAGCTTGAATTGTGTGATAAATACAATATTGCAAATTATCAAAATATATTTTAGAGCATTTAATTTAGAATTCTATATTTGTATCTATTTCTATATATCAAAATTCCTAACAGTTTCAGTATATCTTAATACATGTTGATTCCATTGTAATGTAAAATATAGAAGATAATCGCCTAATATTTGAATTTCATTTTTATATATAATATACATTATGTATCTTTATGAACATTAATTGCTTATATAAGCCTAGTATTTCTGATATGATCACCAGCAAAGCAGTGCTGTAATACTATTTCATGTTATATGTTGTGGATGAACGTTAACATACAAAGTTCTTTATGAAGTTGTTTTTCTCATTTCTTCCTCTGTGTGTGTGTGTGTGTGTGTGTGTGTGTGTGTGTGTCCAGTTAACATTTTAGAGTCTGTACCCATGGGCACAAGGGCTGTGCTCTGTTGCCCTCCTGTCCTACTGGCAAAAGTAATGTTAATGACATGGAAAATAACCCTCAGAGGCCAGTCTCTCTGCACAAGAGCACATAAAAAAGAAACAAATAAGACCATCGACACCAACTGCACTGATGGGAGAATAACCTGGGCCTCCAGACCTGACCTGAGTCCTGACCTTCAGATTAATGAAGTGGCTGTCACTCATGATGGAATTTACATCTGTGAAACAGCAACATTTAATGGGAATTTCTACAATGTGTATCAACTCCAAGTGCTAGGTAAGAGCTGCCACATATTGTGATATATCACATTGCCATATTTGTGATTGAAAAAAAAGTGCTCTAAATCTCATCTCTGATCTTAAGGCTGAAGTATAATTTTCCTCACGTCTCTGTAGTGCCCCCTGAAGCAAACATCTTTTTCAGTGAGAATAAAACTTTGGTAGTGTGTGAGACAGCTGCCGGCAAGCCAGCTGCGCAGATCTCCTGGACTCCAGAGGGGCACTGTGTGACTAAGGACGAAGAGAACAGCGATGGCACTGTGATGGTCAGAAGTACCTGCAGCTACTCAGACAGTAATGTATCCACTGTGACCTGCTTGGTCTCCCATTTGACTGGCAACAGGAGTCTCTCCCAAGGTCTGCCTTCTGGTTAGTAATTCTTCTAGTTTTTTGTTGATGCCCTCCCCCTTTTTATTGGAGTTAAGAAAGAAAATAAGTGCAGGGAAGTTTCATTCAAAGATTCTTTCTCAGCCTCCATTTTATCTTCCTCCCTTTCCAAAATAGAGGGATAATATTACAAAGAATATTACAGATCTTTTTTTGTAAAAAATCATATTTTAGAATTCAGTTTGTTCCACTCATATTGGTTGTTTCTATGATAGTATTAAATTGACTTATGTAGTGTGTTTTAAAATACTCATGGCTTTAATTGAAGTATGAAGTGTGACTTTAAACAGATACTTCTGATTTTATGAGAAAGATAAAGTCATTCATAAATTTTCTTTATGGATTGTTAGTCTGGGGCACTTTTTTCTTCCAGATTCTTCCTGGTGGAATTTCTTAAATATCTTATAATAACATCTGTGACTTGGTTTTTCCATTGTCTGCTTCTATCCTACTCCCATGTCTTGTCATTTAAAAATATTTAAATATTACTTCAATCAATATAACACAGTCAATATAACATTTAAAGTCAAATTGCTCTGGGGCCCCAACTGAAAAACACCAGCCTAATCTCTGCATTTGCAAATCCCTTTTTCTGTCCTCATTCAATTCCCAGAGACAAGTAGTTTTAAATCTTCAAGTGTTTCTTTAGTATTTAACTCTATTTTGCTAAACCACATGCTCATAGCGCTATTTCTTATTTATCAAATTTAGACCTTATGCCGCCACTTTTTCTGATAGTAGATGAGCACTTAACATTATCTTCTTCCTTCTCTCATCCTACATATGAGTGATATAGCAATTGCTATTCAATCAAATAGCTACTGTTTACATTAACTTGAATATGCAAATATGATTATTAAATTTATCAACATATGCTCCTCTGTTTTACTTTTTTTCATAGTCTTCATGATTGCTTTACTTTTTAAAACTTCCAGTGTATGTATTTGTTGTAAATTAACATGAAACTCAGTGACAAAATCAAAGAACTCCTAGTAATGCATTCTACAGGTCTGATTTAGGTAATCTATTAGTTCCATGTTTTTTCTAAAGATATCCCTTCTTGAGTTTTCCCATGGTCTTGAACTCATCAGTCCTGGTTGGTCACTTGAACTGTTGCACAGCTATTGGCCTCGATGATCTCTTTGCCTTGATCCTCTGTTTGATCCTGTGTATACTTCATCTGAGTTTTTTCTGCCTTCTACCTTTTGTTTGTCTTAATCTCTTTCTTTTCTTTGCACTCATTGGTAATCCTTGACTGACAACTGATTTCCAAGTGAACATTGAAGAGCTGATTACAAGCCTGAGGGGACCACCATTAAAAAATTTTAATTCCCAGCTTAGCATGGCAACGTACTGAAGAGGCTGAGGATCAGAAGTTCAAACCCAGCCTGGGCTACTTAGTGAGACCTTGTCTCTAAACAAATAAGCAAACAACTAAATATGCCAAAGATGTGTATAGAGTAAGCTAGGATTTGATCTCCAGTATTGAAAAGGAAAAAAATGATTCCTAAAGCAGTTTTTTATTGTTTATTTTATTTTATTTATTTATTTTTGGTACCAAGGATTGAACTCAGGACTCTTGGTTGCCAGGCAGGTGTGGCACCACTGAGCTACATCCCCAGTCCAGAAAGAGATTTTTAAAATAAAGCTTTACTGAGAATATTAATTGTGCCTTGCACCTGTATGAACTCCCACCATCCAGTTACAATATGATGTCCTATTTATAGACTGCTGGACTCAAAGACCATGCAGTCCAGACTCCCACTGAGTGTAGGGATTTCTTCTGTCTTCCTTGCACATCTGATGAGAGACACCTCATTAGTTTGACAGTTTCAAAACAATGTTGTTGATGTTTTTAGGAGTAAAGCCAAGCTTTTTAAAATAAAATACTGAGAAATCCAGGATTTAAAAATAGGTGAAAAGACTGGACACCAGCTTGCTCAGCCTTCCCTTTACTTCCTTCTGCTGCCCTTCAGCCACATTCAAGGAAAACCAGGAGCACAGTTTTGAAAGCTCTTCTCACTTTGGCAATTCATTGTTGATTTGTGCACTTAGACTGAGGTTTGTACTGTGGTCAGCAGCTTATAGATAATTTAAATTTGGTGCCATGAGTTCATTTTAGTTTCAGTGTCTTAGCAGAAAGGTAATTTCAGAATTAGAGTTATTTTTCCAATTACCGTCCCTGTGATAACCTATTTATTTCTGAATGTTAGAGGTGAGAAAACCATTTGTTCTTACTGTAAGAATTGGGTCTGAGTTTCACATCTCTTCCACAGGAATTTACCAATCATGAATCCTTCAAGAAGAAAGACAAGAGTGATATGATGTCTTGTTGGAAACTCTAGGATCTGAACTGATAAAACAATTCAGAAGTGTTTAAAATAAAATAATAGAAATGGATTTCATGTACTTGAGACATCCTTGAACCACATATATTTTGAGTTTTGAATAGATTTTATTTTTTAGAAGAGTTTTAGGTTCACGGTAAAATTGAGTGGAAAGTACAGAAAGTCCTTATAGAAGCCTTGGCCCTACCCAGGCACAACCTCCCCACAATGAACATCCTGCACCTCAGTGTCACATTTATTACAATCCCTGAACTCACGTGGACTCATAATTCTCACCCAAAGTGCATAGTTTACGTTAGGGTTGACTCTTGCTGATGTTAATTCTATGGGTTTGGACAATTATAACATGTATCCCCCTTCATGGTATCACACAAAAGTGTATCAGCTCCATGAAAATTCTTTGTGCTCCTCCTTTTTATCTATCCCTCCCTCCTACCCTTGGCACTGATCTTACCCACTGATCCTACCCATCAATCTTTTAATATCCTCCTAGTGTTGCTTTTCTCAGAGTGTCATATAGTTGCAGTCATGGATTATGTCACCCTTGCAGATTGGCTTTTTCACTTAATAGGAAGCATTTAAATTTCATCCATCTCTTTTCATGGGTTGATATTTATTTCTTTTTGTGCTGAATAATATTCCATTGTCTTGATTTGTCACATCTGAACCATATATTTTTATGTCTATGATTACAGATACCTCAAAATCAAATGAATTATATATTAAATACATCATTCCTCCTATTAGTATTATTTTGATCATCGTGGGATCAGTTTGGCTTTTGAAAATCAGGGCCTTCAGGTATTGAGTGATTATTGTCTTTTCTCTTTAGCTTTATTGCACTAGAAGAATAAGAAATATGGAAGTAACTGGGTAAATTAGGATGTTAACATCAATTCTCTCATACTCAAAAAGCATCTTTGTTTTGGACTGGACTACTTTGAATGAGGAGAGATTTTTCTGGGTTGATATGACAGGCAACCAAGCACAGTCAATTAAGCCAGTTAGGTCAGAATCTTGGAAAAACAGCACATGCTAGTATTTTTATTTGGGAAATAATTACAATAATTTATTTCATGAGACATATATTCTATTGCATCAAGCTCCTGTTGCATAATTTTACTTCTCTTCCCAAAATCCAGAATTCTTCAAGCAGCATTCTTCACTCATTGCTGGTAGTTCATTTCTAACTTATTATGGCTTCTATAAAAATGAACCTTAATTTTCAACAATACAGTGTTTTTTCTATTTTTAGTCTAAACAATGATGTTTCCTATATTAATTCCAGCTTATTTTATTTTTATAGGAAATGTAAGCTTAAAAAATCAGCAGCTACTTCTGTCATTGAGGAGGTAAGATAAGATAAAAAAAGAATATTTATAAACTTTAAACATACAGTTGGAAAATCTAGCATCAATATTAGTGTTTTAGTTGAAAAATTTAAAAAGTCTGGTATTAGAATGCTAATAGGTATACTTATTTTGTTAATTATCTATGAAATGCTATTTATGTATTACCTCAAGTTCACATTTTCATCTCAAATTTTATCCTAATGACATAACATTTGCATTATTTGGACTGTAATCTTTGGAAAAACTGAATCGGCATTTCTTCTTCCATGAAAGCCACCTCTAATTCTTAACTTTGCCTTTACAATTCCATTTTCATTTTCCTCTTAGTCAATCTTAAAACATACCCTGCTCCTTAATCTATCGTAACTAGTTACTCTGACTCTGTCCTTTGAAATTCTCCTGTCACTTCATTCCTCTCCATTTCTACTTTCACACAATCATCATCTCATAAACAGATATAAGTGATCAGCAAATATTTTTTGGTAAGTTATTAAGACAAAGCCTTGTTCTATGTTTATATAAGCCCAGAGACACAAATATAAGCATTACTGGTAGATGCTAAACCTGTAGGTACTGATAGAAAACTACAGGTGGTTTCTGTAATTTCTGTCCTTTTTGACTGCTTTTGACTTTGGATTCTTTCTTAGGATGAAATGCAGCCCTATGCTTGCTACACAGAGAAGAACAACCCACTCTATGAAGCTACAAGCAAGGTTTAGGTGTTTCAAGTATCACAAAGTGAAGCTGATGGCATAGACCTCCATACTTTATAAGTTATTGGGATCTAGCACCAGGAAAAATTAATCAAGATACATTATACTTACTGTTTTGAGTTCTCTTACAGATCTAGAATGGAAAACCTATTTTGAAGTCAGTTTTGGAAAACTTCTTGGAAGAAAAAGATGTTCTAATGGATTTGTATTTATGTCCTTTTACAATGGGAATTTTAGAATCTTAGCTGCTATTAGCTAGTTCTTTGAAGAACTTGTTATTGTGCAAAGAAAACACATGCTCATAAAATATTCAAATTGTGCAATACAGTGAATAATGAAAACTAAGTTTCTTCAAGAAATAATTTTGTCAAAGGGGCAATCATCAACAGTTTCTCATGTATTCTTTAAGATTTCTACATACATTTGATATGTTTATGTGGCTATGGTATATATATGCATTTATGTATCTATTTACATTTGTGTTTGTGTGTATATATATATGTGTGTATGTGTGTGTCAAGACACAAATAGGAACATATTGTAATGCTATCCAGTTCTTATAAAAAAGCTAATAATGTAAGTCTTGGAGATATTTTCATGTCAGCACAAGAAAATCTACCTCATTCTTTTCTAATGGCTACATAAGATTCCATTGTATGATTATATCATAATTTAATTAACTACAGCCCCAGTGATGGACATTTAGATTAAGTTTTGTTTATGGTATAAATAATAACAGTATAATGCTTCTTGTGGATATATTTCTTCCCACTGTTTGAATGTATCAGTAGGATAATTTCCTTGAGTGAAATTTCCAGGTCAATTTGTATGCACTTTTATTATTGATAGGTATGTCACATTGTGTCAATTTACATTCCCCCAACAGTGTAAGTTGTGCCTTGTATTGATATCTGCAAGATTCTCACTTCCTTGATTCCCATTTTCTCTTTTAAATTAAACAGTTGGCTAATATGATGCAAGATTATAAGAACTGTACTATTTAATAAAACTGGATTTATATTTTTTGTTGTATTTTAAAGAGAGAATATATGTGTAAAAATGTTTGATTTCTTCTGAGACCCTCCTGCCTCTATGGAAGTGTTAATATTCAATATGTAACAGTTTTGCAGATGATACAGGTTGGAATTGTGTATTTTTGTAGTATACATTGTATTCTGGTGTATTTCTCAAGTAGTAGATATTTATGGGGTATATATGTAGCTAAATATGCACTACAGATGATTTGGAGTTTCTGCATGCTAAGAGAACAACCATAGGATGACATGACCCTCCCCTACATTTTTCTATGGAGTAAAATATTGGGAATATGTATATTGAAAATTTTTAATAACATAAAAATCTTGTTAGATGTGAAAAGTATGAAAAAATAAGACTACTGTATAGTAGGAAATATATTAAAATATTTTTTATTGTGACAGAAATTAAAACAAAACACATTTATTCTTCAATTGTACCATCAAAGAAATTTAAGACAATAATTTTGTCTTACTAATACATTTTCCTCTCTCCAGCTATTTTAATTATTTTAGGCTTTGTTCTTAAGGGGAGTTCTTAAGTCTATGTTAGAGGCAAAATTAATACGTTGACGTGGCATATGATATTTTAATTGTATATTTTCACATGGGCTCTTAACCCCTTAAAACCCCACTTCAATCGATTAAGTTTCTTCACTTGAGTATTATTGAAGGAATGATGTGCACAGTGGACATCATAACCCTGTCCTTGAAATTTTATTAATTCTTCACCATCCTTAGTTGGGATGAACTCCATAGTTAATAGGACCAAGACTATATGTTTAAATATTACTTAAAAAATACAACTGTCAGGTCCGACTTAGGTGAGTTCTTCACAAACAAATGGGCCAAAGCAAACAGGCTGTTTTAGCAAACAACAGCATCTTCTCAGTAAATAGAGCAAATGGACTCAAAACAAAGTATACAACCCCCCTAGCTCCATAAAGTCTAGTAATTGTATAAACATCTGAGGAGGCCGTCCTTAGGCATCCTAGTCATAAATATTTCACCCCAGATTCCTTAGCCCCTTCAATACCTGTATAAGCCGAATTCCTTTCCCAGTTAGTTGCTAATCTCTCTCTCTCCTGGTGTTAGCCTATCCACTCACAGATGAAATCTCTCCCAGGTAGCTACACTATCTCTTTCCCAATCTCAGCCGATTCACACATGGATGTGATAAACAACTTTTCCAAGCTAGCTCCTAGAATCTCCTGATTTTAGTCTCTGTTTATTGGAATAGACTTTCCTTTCAAAAGCCTGTTTTGACAAGTGGATTCTTTATGACAACAACAAAATGTACTTACAACTTAACTTAATAATGTCTAAGGAGCACATAATATCATAGTAAAGACTTTAAGATAGTTTAGAAACTAGGCATGGTTTTGCATATCTGTAATCCCAGAACTCTGGAAGGCTGAGACAAGAACATCCCAAGTTCAAGCTAAGCTGGGTAACTTAGTGGCTTAGCAAAACCTTGTCTCAGAATTTAAAGAAAACATAATAATTAAAAATAAAGTCTGAGGACATAGCTCAGTGCAAAGGCTCTAGGTTCAGTCCTCAGTACTGCTAAAGATACTTTGTAAATCTGAAATTATAACCATTATACTATACATAAAAATAATTGTATGAAAATGGCTTGTTATGGAAGTGAAACATGGCTGAATATTTGAATCATGTGGAGAAATAAAAAATTTATACAGATTCCTCAAATTCACTCTACGTCTGCTGAATCAGAAAAATTAGAGAGTGGACCAATGCCTTAGTCACTTTCTCCTCACTGAGACAAAATACCCAACACAATTTAAAGGAGGAGAGGTTTCTTTTGGTGTACGCCATTCAGAAAATCTGCCTTAACAGCGAAAGACTCAATGCCCTTCAAGACCCAGAACCAAGTAAAGTTTAATGTCCAGGAGCACACAAGATGAAAGCAAGGGGAGTGCCATGAAACAACAAACTCATACCTTTTTCCAAAGATCTCAGTCGGACCTCCAAGAAGTCACAGGGAAGTAACTCCAAGCCTATTAGGCGTCATATGCACCAAGTTCATGTCTCTCAATATGGAAGAATGGATTCGCGGACATAGGAGGTTAAGAGTAGGAAAGGTTATTGAGAGAAAGCTCCTGATAGAAAGTGGGTTACCACTGAGGCATTTTGTCAAGGATATTTTATTTTATTTTTAAAAAATTCCTTTATTGGTACATTTTAGGTATACAATACATTTACATTTATCATTGGGTACTTGTACCTGTACATGATGTATCTTAGTTCTTA